GCGGGGTCCCCCACCCCGAGCCCGGGACCGTGGCTCGCTCGGGCACCAACTGGTGCTCCCAGGGTCGGGCTGCGCCTGGGTGTCTCCGCCACCTCTTGGCCACCCGCTCCTGTCGCCCGCGGCGTTGCTCAGGCTCCGGCCACCTCACCTGCCCGAGGGTTAAGCAGTGGTCCCCGGAGCATCTGGACGCCGGCGCGAAGGCGAAGGCGAAGGCGCTGTCACCGAGCCGCCGTTCTGAACGTTTGGGTGGCGCTCACCTGCGGCCCGCGGTCGCGCTGGGGGGCCGGCGCCCCCGCCAGGGAGTCGCGTGGCAAAGGGCAGGGCCGTCCCCCAGGCCTCGACGTGGTGCGATGTCACACCCCGATTTGCTCCTTTTCGGGGAGGCCTTCGGGTGGAACCGAGGAGCGGTGAATCTGCAGCTCGGGTTTCTTGGATCTTTGAGGATGTGAGAGGTTGCCAGGAGCCACGTGCTGGGTTAGAAGTCGTGTGAGCGTCGCTGCAAGTGCCGGCAGGTCATCCCCTACCTTTCTCACCAGTAGGGCGCCTGGATGCGATTAGATAGACACACTATTATGTGTCATTTCACTGGTCTCTAGTTATTATGGTTTCTTAGTTTATTATTCAACAGCTTAGTGGTAAGCCCTTTTGTCTTTGTATTGTTGTGAAGTTATTCTGAGATAAGATAAACTAGTCCCTTTGACAACAGAGTTATCCGGTACGAGTTACAAAGATTTGTTAAATACCCTCAGTTTACAGCATAGCAGAATTAGTGATTATCTGGAAACTATGAAGAACATTTAAACTTAATAATTTAATCTTGGATATAAGTTTAATGTTCATTATTTGATTAATTTAATTTGGCCAAGGTTTGTTCCCCCCAGATCATTTGAGCCTGGGTTAATGAACTGTTACTTTAAGAACAGTCGATGTTTACCTTATAGCATGTAAGCTTCTGGTTCACTGTTATTACTCTGAATAACATTTTACAGTTTCACTGATTAAACAAAGGTAACGGGAATAGTTCCCTCTCTCTTCTCCCCTTCCCTCCCTCCCTCCCTGTATTGTATTTAGTGCTGTCAGGATGGTAAGCAGGAGATGAAGCTTCAAGAAGGCGTTTAGCAGCCTTTCTCTTCCCACCTCTTTTACATAGATGAAATCAGGTTAAAATGAATGTTACAGAAATCCATCACAAAGAAATAAAGTGGGGAGGGAAAGGGTAACATATAATACGGGTCTCAAGAAAAAGGGTGTGGACTAGTTCTCTTTGCCTTGCAAACGGGAGTCCTTAGAGATAACATTTTACTATTAAAGGAAGAGATCTGGGGTCTTTTTTCGTTCTAAATAAAATAATAGTGTCACAAAGTTAAAAGAAATGGATATGAACGTTCTGTTTTCTTTTGGATAGTGCTCCAGATTAGAGACTAATCTCTCAATATGTTCTCCTCATTTGTAGATAGTGAATTCCCAAGAAGAGCATGATGGATTTCACATTAGTTGTTCTCTAAGTGTCTGGAGTCAGCAGTGTGCAGTTCGTGTCAGGGGCCAAAAGAAGATGGCAACTCCTTATGTCCCCGTCCCTCTGCCCACAGGGGACTCCGCCTCCAGCTTTCTAGCCAGCAGGAACCAAAGAAGTTCATCGTTTGGGAGCATCTCAACAAGCTCAAACTCTTCCAAAGGCCAGTTTGAAGACTCAAATATGGGGACCTTGAAACAGACCAGGGTGCCTGATCAAGCGGATAGCACTTCGTCTGTCAGTAGCAGTCCCCTCGTTAGGACTAAATTTACAGATGCGGATTCCTCCGTTGAATATTCCACTAGACCAAGGGAGAGTGAAGAGCGAAATCCCGAAATGGCGAATTTGGACGATAGGCCTTCTACACCTACTATTCTGGGCTATGAGGTGATGGAGGAAAGAGCTAAGTTTACCGTGAGTATGGCTTCTGCTCCGCACCAGTGGAAAGTGAAAGATTGACTTACCTGTGTGAAATCGAGCAGCGTTAGCACGTACTTGTCATTTCTTAAAGACAAAGTTCAAAGTTCAGATGATTTGTACACCTCTAAATTCTGTCATTGTAGTAAACTTGTTTCACGCGAATTAGTTTTCACAAACCAGACGTGGGTAGCACGCACGTCCAGAAACGTCCCTGGCGTCCTGGACCGCCACCCGCATGCCCACTGCAGTCACGGCCCGCTCTCCTCGTACCCTACGTTAGTTTTGCCTTTCTTTGTACTTTACATGAATGGGAGCGTGGAGTGTGTACTCCTCAGCATCATGTTTGTAAGATTCATCCTTGACCTTGCATGTGATGGCAGGGAGCTCGTTTTTATTACTGATGGTATGCCTCGATGTGCATATACTACGATTTCTTTACCCATTCGACGGTTGAAGACCGTTTGGATCATTCTAGTTTGGGGCTCTTACAAATCCTATTCTACGAACCTCGTAGTATGTGTCACTCAGTGAACACGTGGACGCGTTTCCATGTGCTATCCGCCCAGGAGTAAAATGGCTGGAACACATGCCAGCTTCAGAGGATAGTGACAAACAGTGTGGCAGAGTGCTTGTACTGGCTGATGTTCCCGGGCACGAGGACTCCGCTGCCACACACCTTCCCAGCGCGTGGTGTCCTCCACCTTCGCGTTGGCTCTTCTAGTGGGCAGAGTGACGTCGCGTGGTGGTCTTAATGTGCATTTCTTAATGACTAAATCGATATCCTCCTTTGTGAAGAGTGTTCAAGATCTTGGCGCATTTGTCTTTGGGAAAGGCTGCTCTGCTTGGGCCTGTCGTCTCCTGTGCATTCTGAACGTCAGTCTTCCAGAGCGCGTATTGTCTCTGGTTTCCCTTTTCACTCCCTTCATGGTGCATTTGATAAACAGAAGTTCTTAATTTTAACACAGTCTAAGTTACTAACTTTTTCTGTTATGGTCAGCGCTTTTTAAAATCTTCCTACTCCCACTATAAAGTCCCATGTTCTAAAAACTATTGTTAGACCTTTCGTATCGAGATCTGTAAACCATCTGGAATTCATTTTTGTCCACGGTACGAGGTAAGGATCAAGACACGTTTTTTATTTATATGGGATCAAGCGGTCAAGTTTTGATTGAAAAGACCACTCTCTCCCCTCTGCATCTGCTCTGTTGCCCGTGTCATAAATCAGATGACCGTGAACGCGTGCGTCTGTTCCTGTGTTCCATTCCTCCTCTTTGCCAGTTCCACGGCATCTTAATTATTAAAGATTCGTGATGGGTCTTGATATCTGGCAGCCTAACAGCTCTGGCCTTGTTCTTCTTCAGGATTGTCTTGGCTGTTCTCAGATTTTATCGAACCTATAAACTAATCTAAGGAGAACTGACATCTTTACAATACTGAGTCTTTGAATCTGTGAACCTAGACCACTTAAGTCCTTTACTGTTTTCAATAACGTTTTATAGTTTTCAGAGCAGAGATCTATCTTTTGGTTAGATTTATTTCTAGGTGTGGATGTTGATGTTCTCATTATCTTTTTCTGTTTTCTATTTGTTATTTGCTAGTTTATGTATATTGGGCTTGTGTATTTATATATCCAGCAGCTTTGCTAAAGTCACTACCAGTTGAAATGGTTTGTTCTTTCTCTTGGATTTTCTTGAAGTAAAGTTTTTATGTTTACATCAACATTTCAGGCTGTAAATTTACAACAAACTAGAAGAACCTCCAAAAAACAATGGTTGAGATAATTTATGAAGAGCCCATCTTTAGTTAAATCGTCATGAATGAGACTGATAATGTGTCGGGAAATCTGCATGAACCTGACTGTTTTTAGGGTGATTTTGTAAATTAAATAAACTGATGGCTCGTTTCCTTACACCGGCTTATCTTCCTTCTGAAGGAGTGAGCATTCGTCGAGGTGCTATCTGTGAAAATGCAAGTTTGTGGGCAAATTTAAGGCAGTGGCATAGAAACACGAAGTCTGTGGTGACTTAGAGGAGGTCGTGAGCGGCTGATGTGGGATCGGCAGTGTCCACCTGCCCGCTAATTTAGCGTGTGTTTAGTACCAGCTGCGTGCCAGGCTCTATGACCTTTGCATCTCTTTCGTGCCTGTCTCGGGTGAGGACTTTGTAGAGACTGTGCAGGATGTCCACACAACCCTCTTCCTCACTCGCATACGTTACAACGATAAATCACTTGTGTTTCACTTCAAAGTGAAAGGATTTACCCTTCCCCTCAAAAGCTGAAAAGAACTCGGTAAGGGAGGAGAACCACGTGGTAAGGATGGTCTCCAGCCGCTAAGTAACGAGGTGTCGCTGGAGCACCCATCCCGTGGGACTGTCGCATGACGAGTGCGAGTCATACTTGTAATTTAAAATTTCCTAGCGGCCGTGTGACGAAGTCAAAAGAAACATGAAATTTTTGATTTTATATCTTTCTTCACACTGAGTCTTTGCAGTCTGGTGTGTGTCTTGCAGTCAGCACACGTCTGCTTAGAAGTCTCGTTTCAGGGGTTCAGTAGCGACATGTGACTAGAGGGCAGCTCAGGAGATTTCCTCCCAGATTCCGTTATGAACAGTGCTCCTCATGATAAACTAAAATTGTACTTGTGAAAATAAAATCTAATGTTTTCTTCTTATATGCTTTATTAAATGTTGACCTGCTTCAATCAAAGTTTTCTATTCAATAGCCTAGATCATTACATAATTCTAGAAATGTAAATTCGCATCTACTGTGGGCATTTTTTTAGCTTGCGTTTCAGCCTTAAAGATTAAAACAGCGTCAAATTATTTTGAAAACTTGGCCTTGTAGTTATTGACTTTAAAAAATAAATTGATTACATAGGACAAAAGTGGCTGTTTTTCATAGCTTTTTCAAGCCTGATTGATTGTTTTATCAATTTTAAAATCCGTTCGCATAAAAAATATTTTGGAAGGTGATGAGTTCATTTATTATCAGTGTCACCAAAAAAACCATGTTGTCTCAAATTTGTCATAGTCTTGTTTCTTAAGAAAAAGGCCTCACTTTTGGTGCTTTCACTGATCGTTTGTACATTTGATGGTCTAAATGATTTCTGATATTTTTTGCATAAGTTATGATCTAGGTTGTCAAGTAGAAGTTTTTAAAATATTTGATTTGCGTTTTTAAATATCTTTACATATATATTTTTTAATCCCCACCCCCACAGGTATATAAAATACTAGTAAAGAAAACTCCAGAAGAAAGCTGGGTCGTGTTCAGAAGGTACACTGACTTCGCTCGGCTTAATGAGAAAGTAAGTACTAATGAATCGAAAACTGACCTTCTAATTTTGAATCGGTACCTGTTCCTGACAGTTCTGTTATATTTGTGTTTTTTCTTCCTTGTTAATTATTTGAGTAAAGTCCAGTTTTTGCTAGTTCCTAAGAAAATTCACCGTTTCATTTTAATAGTCCCATCTCTACACAGAACTTTCTTTTTTTTTTTTTTGAAAACAAATTATCTTTAGTGTAAAAGTGTGAAAACCTTAAAATTATTAATACAAATATAACTAAAACGTGTCTGTGTATCATCTGGTGATTTGGGCGGGCTGAGGTCCCCGTGTCTCTGCTGGTATCAGCCAGGGACTCTTCTGAGCTCAGGGGGGGCTGCTCTCCAGCCCGTGCATGGGGCCCCTCCGTCTTCTAAGCCAGCAGCTGCGGGTCGGGTCCTTCTCGTGCTGTGACTCTCTCTGAGTTTCTCTTCTGCCACCAGCCACAAAGAAAGTCCTGCTTTAAAGTGCTTATGTGATAAGATTAGGCCCCCACAGATAACCTCCCTACCTTAAAATCAACTGAACAGCAACCCTAATTACATCTGCAGAATCCCTTTTGCTGTGTAAGGTAAGGACATCACAGCAGCAATACCAGGGCAAAGGCCTTGGGCTGTCTACAACTCGGCCTGCTGCACGTGTGAAACGAAGGGTAATAGTAAACCTCAGTGGGTGAAGAACCCTTAAAAATAAGCAGCAAAAACGTAAACCCAAAAGGAAAAAGTACAGCGAATGGTATGGAAAAGGTAATCCACGGAAGAAATATAAACGACCAGTACATTTGAGAAATATTTAATATCACAAGTACTTTAAGAAACGAAAATTAAGAAACTAATTTTCACCCGTCAAGTTGAGAGGCGTATTAATTATTGGAAATATGGCTCTTCCTGGAGGACACTCTTGAGTGCTGCAATTCTGACACAATAATCACATTTCTGGGATTTATCTTCTATATAAGAAATCATGGATATAGGCAAGATTTAGCTCAAAAAATACTTATCAGGGTGTTTTATTGTCCTTTCTTTGTGTTTTAGTTTGTTTTTAATAGTTAAAAATTAGAACCAACAATAGGGAATTGACAGTAAGTCGCAGTGAGAATGCGGTAGAGAGAGAGGGGCCGAGTGTCCACGGAGCTGGAGGGAGACGGGGTGGCAGGTGGGGCCATTGGAAACCACGAGAAGTAACGCTTTTCCCCAAAGAAGCAAGTCGTGCACGGTGCTTCCGAAGGGCCCAGTAATCTGACCTGGGACCAGAAATTGCTCCCTAATTCTGACAGGTGTTGAGCAGAGGAACCTTCACTGGTCCTGTTCGCTCCCATCTGCCCGCCCCCGCCCCCTTCCTGGACCACTCAGAGCCGAAGTCCGTGCGCTCTTAGCATGCTCGGTGGTGTGACTTGGCAGCTGCCTCGCTGCCAGAAAGCTTCTGCCATTTTGAAAACCTCAGTTTGAGTGAAAAGGTAAACTGTAAAATGCTAAAAACTTTTATCCTTTATTAAGGTGCGTATTGTAAAGATAACTTTTCATAGTATGCCAAAATACTGAAAGTATTATTTCTGATGTATTTCTACCATTACATATGAATTTTATTTACTATTCCTGCATTCTTATGTTACAGTAATAAATTAAGAAACTATAATTCTCCTCTGTTTTTTTTAACGATTAAATAAACCAGAAGATTGAAGTAACTCATGAAGTTACCTGATACTTAAGTGGAATTCTTACCTTTCCTATGCAATTGTTATAATATTTTTGCTCATGAAGACTAATTTCTGACAATTTAAATTTAAAGCTGCTTGATCCTTTATGACTTATTACTTTTCTTTTTGGGGCTCAACTATTAGTGTCTATTTCCTTTTATCTCCTTGGATTCATCTTTATTGCTAAAATGTTCATCTTAGACAAGCGGAGACTTAGAGATCACTTACATTTTTAAAAAAGATGTTAGTAAGAGTTTAATTTAAATCTAGTAAATATCTCCTTGCTACCCCACGTGGGGCACTGGACATTGCTAAGTGTCTGTGTCAGTCTTCGAGGTGCCAGAGACAGCTGGACCTATCACTTGCTTTTCCTGGCAAGAACCAAAACTGTGAAACACCAGCAGCACGTGGGCTAAATTGTACTATGAAACCGGTCACGAGGCATCTATGAAATGAACAGTTCGGAGTTCAGCGTTGTGTTAGGAATTTGGGGTTATATGGAAACCGTATAGATGTGCATCCCCCACTTATCTATAGTAGTGAGAACAAAATAGCCAATTGACAATATGAAAATTATTGAACGGAGTTAAATAACGCTGGTTAGAAAGAGATTGTCTGCAGAACCCTAGTCTTTTTTTCTTCCCCTTTTCTTAACTCTCCTGGATTGTGTCCTGACTGCAGCTTCCCCCTGAGCTGGAGAGCCTCTCGAGGGTGTCAGAGGCTCGTTCCTCAGCAGGCTGGGGACACTCGGGGCTCATCCCGGTTGAGGCCTCTGGCAGGTGTGCAGGGCGGCTGGGGGATGAGTAGCTTGCAGAAATGTGACAATAAGAAATGGGGTTTTCTCTCTATTTGACTTAGAAGCTTGCTATTTTCTACCTTCAGGTTGTAGAAGCAGGTCAAAGCAGAACATTTCTGGGAGGTAAAGTGGCTGCTCTCAGCCATGTCTAGGCAGCAGAGCGTAGTGAGTGGCCAGAACCATCAACTCATGGTCAGGACGAGCCAAGTGCGCGTGAACATCTGGACTGGGCTCAGTCCCCACGTTCAGGAGCTCAGTGCAGCCCTCACCGCGCCCGCCCCTGGGGTCGCGCTGTCCTCAGCGGCCCTGAGCTCCCCGACCTCGCCACGTGGCTCGGAAGGGGCACCCCAGGGCTGCCTTTCTCCCGGCTGGGAATAATTTTATTCTTCAGAGCTTCGAAGACATTAAGCTGTTGCCATCTTGCTCTTAGTGCTGAACGTTGCTGTTGAGGGGTCCAGAGTCGTCTTCCTCCGGACCGTTGTGCATCCCCTGTTTATTCTTTAAACGTCTGCTGGATCTTCTCTGCACGGTTCATCTGGAATTTCACTGAGCATTCATTCTCTTGGATGCTCAGTGGGCTTATGGTTGTTTTATAGCACTGAAATTTGAAGTAACTTGTTGCAGAGTGTATAAAAGGCTGTCTTCTTACAGCTTAGAAGATCGGAAAAGTCTTCTCTCAAAAAGTGAAATTTCAGCCAAACATGCAAAATGGATCATAAACCAAAATGTAAAAGCTAAAACTGTAAACACCCAGGAAAAAAACATCAGTATCTTTGCGGCCTTGGAATGAACAAAGATTTCTTAAATAGGATCTAAAAATTAATAGACAACAATGAACGAATTTAAAACATATGCTCTGTTAAAACTTAAAATGAAAATTCAGGTCACAGTCGGGAGAAAATATTTGTTATGTGCATATCTGACAGAGGACATATCCAGAATATGTAAAGAGTTCTTACAACTAAATAAAAAGACAACCCAGTTTTTTTAAGTAGAGTCAGAAGATTTGAATAGATTATTCACCAAAGAAGAGATGCAGATCCAAACAAGCACATGAGAACGTATTTCATACCATCTGTCAACAGAGAAGTGCACACTAAAGCCCCAGTGGACACCGTTACACAGCCACCAGAGTGAGGGCCCTCAAGAGGAGGGACAGCGCCGAGGGCTGACAGGACGTGGAGCAGCTGTCGCTCCTCTGCGAGAAATCAAGCAGGAAAACCATCAAGTGGCGAAAAGCTAGCTAAATTCAGTTCTTTTATTTTAAGCTTATTTCTTAGATAATTTCACAGAGTCGACAGGATGGATTTTGTAGAGTTGATATAATTCAGTTGAACATCAGATATTCTGTTTTCTTCTTTTTCAGTTAAAAGAGATGTTTCCAGGCTTTCGGTTATCACTGCCACCAAAACGCTGGTTTAAAGATAATTACAACGCCGACTTCTTAGAAGATAGACAATTAGGATTGCAAGCATTTCTTCAGAACTTAGTAGCTCACAAGGACATCGCTCACTGGTACGTAATGAATTGGAATAAGAGGTTATTAATGCTGAAGCACCTCATTTAAACCAAGGAATAGATCTAGGACCGTAGTTATTCAAGGTGAACAAAACCATAGGATAAGCGTATACTCACTTGTCCCCTCTGACAAGACACTCCATCGAATTGTCTTACTTTTTTTCGGTAAGGACTTTATTTGGTGTTTGATGTATATTAACACTTTTAAAAAGTCAGCAGCCTACAGCCACTCCACCCTGAACACACCGTTCCCGTCTGATCTTGGAAGCTAAGCAGGGTCGGGCCTGGTTAGTACTTGAATGAGAGACCACCTAGGAAGACCAGGTGCTGTAAGTGTAAAAATAAATAAATAAATAAATGAAATGAAATAAATAAATAAAAGGTCAGCAAAGTTAAAAATTCTGTGTACCCTACTCAGACCACCCAAACCACTGTAAACGTGATTTTAGTATTAAAATTTTAGCCATCATTTAAGCAAAGTGGTCCCCATATTAGACTTTTGGTTAATATGACACTATATAATTTTTATGGGAATCTTTATAGCTTTTCAAAGTAATACAAAAATATGAAAATTTTGAAGTTCGGTTAACTTATGTAGAAGGTAAAAACCATTAAAAAGAGAGAAAGGATCTATATAGGGTTTTTGCTTCTGAATATTTAAGAAAACTGCTTTATGATAATATCACGTGGGTATCTACTTGTAGAACTTACATCATCAGATAAATGAGAACTGTTTTTGGAGAAAGTACCAGTATCTGCAAGGCAGTCGTAGCATGTCATATAGATACTTATGTCTGGAACTGTCTTTAGCAGTTTTTCACATAAAGACGGAAAACAATACAAAAACCATCCATTTTCACTCTTTCTACGCTTTTTCTCCATCCTTTACGTATGTCCGGTGCTGCATGACACCATACTGCACATGGGCATCTCGCCGCTCACGTCTGCTGAGCGCAAGGCCGTTTGGGGCCTGTGCCCACTGCCCCAGCCCCGCGGAGGGACCACAGGCCGCCCCTTCTCGGCTCCACATCCACACGCGCACGCCCGCGCACACCCGCACCTCTCCACGCAGACCCGGAACGTTCCCTGCAGACGTTTCTGCCGCGCGTTCAGCAGCGGCATCCTCCCAGAATCCGGGAGCCCGGCGACACCGCCCTCACCCCCTCACCCCCGCCTTGGCGTTTTAAACTCCAAGGGGACCCTTTGCTTAAATGATGACTAAAATTTTAATACTAAAATCAAGTTTACAGTGGTTTGGTACACAGAATTTTTAACTGCTTCTCCCCATCCCTGCCACCGCCGCCCGGTCGGAGCCGCCGTCCCTCCCGGGATCGCTGCAGAAGCGTCGCGGCCCGTCTTCCTGTCCACCCGCCTTCCCGTGGCCTCCTGTGATGCAGTCGAGTCGTCCCGGTCCCCACCTGCCCGCCATCCTTGTGACTTCACGTTCTGTTATTCCTGCCCGCCCCCGTTCTCTGTACATCAGTACTGGTCACCTTGCTCCTTTGTCCCCTGGGGCCTTCAAACGTGCTGTTCCCAGGGAAGGCCATGTCCCACCCTCCTGTCCACCCCTCGCACCTCCAGCATCTTCACTCCCTGCCATAAGTGCCTCCCTGACCACCTGCAGGCGCCTTCTGCCCACGCCAAGATCTTGGGCTAAGTTTCCACTCTAAACCAAAGGTACAAACAGACGCACGAAGTCCCTGACCCGCTTTCCTTCCCTAGCTGCAGCGTCCCGGTACTTGGCGTCGTCTGCGAACGTGGCAATGTTACTGAGGGGTGGGGGTTCTGGGGACGTAGGTGTAAGATAGTGACGTCTCACGTCGGGTCGTCACACGCGGCACTGAGAAAGAGCCTTCCCCACGCGTCTCGGGACTGTCCTCTTCAGACTTAAGAGCCACTATCTCAACGTTTCGTCCAGACTTTTGGCTTCTCAGTCTCAAGACTAGTTTCTCTCCTGTGGCTCGTTTTTTGCCGGACAGTTGCTTCTCCGGTATAAATACCGGGTGGATGGAGAGTGGCAGAGCCAGGCTGAGGGGACTGCGCGTGGCGCCTGCGCTCCTCTGGGCCGTCAGACCAGCGGCAGGGTGACCGTGGTCAGAGGGGCGTGGCTGGCCAGGGGGACAGTCCAAGCGAACCAAAATGTGGAAGCATTTCCAGGTAGGAAAAGGCACGTGATTATACGCAGTAGAGATGGAAGAGCTGGCTGTGCCGCTCACACTGTGTCACCTTGGACGAGTCTCTTCACCTGTGCACACTTTGATGTCGTCTGGAAGTGCTCAGGTGATGCCCGTGCTCGCCTCTCGTGATTGCTGAGAGAAGTAAAGCAGGGCGTGTGACAGCCGTCTGTGCAGCGCACTTGACAGTGCTGGAAACGCCGAGTGTGCGAGGTCCCGCGTGTTAGCCGCAGCGCACAGCGCACGTGTGCGCCGGCCCCGCCCGTGCACCGCAGGCGTGTACGGTTGTCGCTGTCAGCTGACCTCAGCGACGCCGCGGGCCACGTGGGCTTTGCCTGCCCGGCACGCTGTGGCTGGAGAGGGAACGCGTTCGCGGATTCTCATGTGAAAGAGGACTTAGATGTCTCCAGAACACCCCAAAAAGCAGAACTGAGGCTCATGAACAGAGAGGAGAGGCTTCCGGGGGGAAAGCCCAGCTCCGAGAAGGAAGGACCGCTCAGCTGTTCAAACAGGATGGCTTCAGAGGTGGAACTTCCCGTGTGGGGAGGTGTGTAGGTATTTTCTCGGCCGAGCGTGGAAAGGGCGTAAAAAGCACTCGCTGGCTGGGCCCCTGGACCCCGTGCAGATCCCTCACCCCGCTCCCCTCCCCGTGCCGAGATCGCGGGCCCTCGCTCTGCGTCCTCGCTGGCCTGGCGTTGTGTCGTCGAGAGGGCGTCGTCCAGAGCTTGGCTGCTCTCTGGGCTCTCAGGTCTTGCTTTCTCGATGGCACTTCCCCACGGAATTTGTATTGTTTGGGAACGATTTCGCTAAAAACCCCGGTTTTCTCGTCATGACCGTCTCCTGTCATCGTCGCCCTGTCTGGCACAGTCTGAACCCTAAATCCCCACCCCCTTTTGAGCATAATAGATTGACATCTCCTTTAGGTCACTTTTCTGTCCTTTGACACCTACAAAAATTCAAGTCTCCACGCTTGTGTTTTACCACGGACATAGAGTCAGTTCTCTTTCCATCCAAAATGCCTTTAGGGAACAAAGTATTTTTGTAACGAGGGAGTTCGCCGTTCTGCCTTCTGAACCTATTCCTGGTCATTGCAAAGTGGAAGCCTAACGGTACCATATTATTTTGGAATTTATGGTAATTTAGAAATGGCATGGTCAGAATTTTTTCTCTTGAACTCTAGGAAAAATATTAAAGTAGCTGAATATAATAAATATGATTGCAAGAAAAATCTTTAACTTGTTTTAGAGTAAATACTCTTCAGTTACTTTAGCTGCATCTCCTGGAGAATAAACAAATGAAGTATAAGTTAGAAATAGTGTTTCTTCATAACAAAATAATGACTTTAGACTAATTCAAACTATTATTCGTTTGAAAGGGATAAAGTATCACTCACCATTTAGATTGGTCTCTACCATTATTCTCAATTATGTTTTATATCCTGTAGTTTTTATGTAACATAAATTCACCATCTCTGTTTATGTTCATAAGATCTTAGAAAACAGTTTAAAACCTTTGTATTTTCTATACATTTTACGTTTACATTTGGTAATTTGTATAAAACTGCATAAGCCAACTGGTCCATTTTGGTATATCAGCAACCAACTTGCTTTAAATACTGTGTAGATTCAAAGTAACTTTTGCGTTTTGCTGTCTTCTGTGAACTTATTTGTACCGTAGCTAATTTTTTTTTCCTTTGGAAAGCCTGGCAGTGCGAGAATTCCTTTGTCTGGACGACCCACCAGGCCCGTTCGATAGCCTGGAGGAGAGCAGGGTGAGTGCCGCGCTGCGTTTCACGGGAAAAAGGGAAGAAGGAAGAACTGAGGACAATGACCGCCTTGTCCCTTGAATGGAACAGCAAACAGCAAAATCTTATCACCTCAGACCAGGGTAGTTATGCACAGAAAACTTCTCATGTTCCAGTCAAAGGTTCCTTTCAGGGAAGCGCATGAACCTCGTTCAGTGAAGAAATGAAAATCCCTACATGTCGTATAGTCGGTGCAGTCCTTAAATTAAACCCTGCATTTTTTTCTCTTTATTTTTATTGTTTTAAAAAATAACATGATTTGGAAATTTATTTTACTACATTTAACAGTACTATTTGTATGTTGAGTTTTCTTCCATCTAATTATAAAAGTCAAGAACTTACAGGTAAAATCAAATTTAAAACTTATTTTCAGAGGTAGAAGTTATGTCTCGTTATCAGTTCAGCACACGCTTGATGCTACTCAGATTACACTAATTGACGCGTTAAAGTGGCCTGTTTCTCGAAGCAGTTGGCTAGATTCAAAAACAGATTTGGTAATAATAGATTAGCTAGGATTTTTTGTAAATTTTCCCCCAAAATGTTAACGGTGTTTAAATGGAACGGATTTAATTGGTAGGTCTTTAATGTTTTCAGTTAAACTGAGTCATTTCTTTGCATGAGAATGAACACTTAACTTTTTAAAAACAGCTTTATTGATGTAAAATTTTCATCCATAAATTTTGCTATTTGCTGTTCCGTTGTAAATAGACAATTTAATAATTTTTAGTAAATGTATAGAGCTGTGCCACCGTCAACCTTAATCTAGTTTTAGAAATTCCCATCACCTCAAAAAAAAAAAATTCCTACAAGCCATTCCCAGCCCAGACCACTGCTGGTCTGCTTTCAGTCTCTACAAATTTGCCTTTTCTGACTGCTTCCTGTAATGATGCAGTATACATACACATCTGCGTGTGTATATGTATAAAGTCAGGTTATCCAGTTCCATAGTCTCATTTATACAGTATGTCTAACGTGGACAGACTTCGCATATATGAAAACACGATCTTTGCACGCGGTTTCTTTCACTTAGCATGATGTTTTTGAGTCATCTGTTTCGTGGCCTCTATCAACATTTCATTACTTTTTATTACGGGGTGGTTTTCCGTCATAGACACATACCACGTTTAGTTGACCCAGTCGCCAGTGGAGAGACTGGATTGTCTGCAGTTTTGTGCTCTTGTAAAAAATGCTGTTTTGAGCCGTCGTGCAGAAGGCTTTGTGTGGCCGAGTGTCTTCGTTTCTCTGGGTCGATTCGTAGGGATGGAATATTTGGTTATGTGACAAAGTACGTTTAACTTTTTTAAGAAACTTACAAACTGTTTTCTAACGTGACTACACCATTTTACATTCCACCAGCAGTGCGTGAAACTTCCAGTTTCCTCCAGGTCCTCACAAACATTTTTTCTGTCTGTTTTTCTAGGCTTTAAAAATTAGGGAGATTTTACACTTAAAATGTACCTCCCAGCTCCTCTCAAAGGGTGTCTCCCTCCCCTTGGGCTACAGTTGGCTGGAGATGAGCTCAGTCAGGCCTGGGAGCGGGGCAGGCGATCTGCGGCACCTCCACTGCGATTGCCTCACGCCCGGCCGACACCCATGGTGCCGCAGGCACTGGGCGGTGGGTGTGGAGTGAGGCGTGGGTGACGCAGGGCACCGATCTGGGAACACGCTGTTACCTGTCTATCTGGGGACGGCCGTTCGCGGGTGTGCCATGCTGTCTCATCACAGTTTTAATCTGCATTTTCCTAACGATTTTTTTATGTTGATCACTTGTTCGTGGGCTCTTTAGTCATTCATATGTTCTCTTTGATAAATTGTCTGTTTAAGCCTTTTGCCCGTTTTTTTAGTTGGGCTGTTTGTCTTACTGAGTTGTAGTTCTGTATTTTGGATACAAGTCCTTTATCAGGGAGCGTGATTCATAAATATCTCCTCCTAGTCTGAACTTGTCTTTTCATTTCCTTAATGGTCTTTTGAAGTGCTGTTTTTAATTTTAATGAAGTTCATTTTATCACTTTTTATGGCTTATGCTTTTGGTGTTGTATCATGAGAACTCTTTCTGTAGTATAGGGTCACAAAGGTTTTCTCCTACATTCTTTGCTAGAATTTTTATAGTTTTAGCTCCTACTTTTAGGTCTCTGATCCATCCAGAGCTAATACTTTTCGTAAGACGTGAGGTAAGAGCCTTCAGTTCCTGTGGGGATCTAATTGTGCCCGTTCCCTTTATTGAATTGTATTGACACTTTTATCAGAAATCAAATGAACATGAAAGGAGAGGCTTCTTTCTGGACTTTTAATTTCCTGCCCTTGACCTCGGCAGCACGTACGGCCCGTTCTCTGCCGCTCTCCTGTCTCCGTGTGTGTCTTGCGGCCTCTGCTCGCAGTCCGTCTGTCTTTCAGTCTGAGGTCTGCCTCCTGTACGTGGCACGTAGTTAACTGGGCCTTGCTCTGTTGTCTGTTCAGTCTGACACATCTGCCTCTCTCGTCTGCCATTTTGCAATTGGTTTTCTATCTGTCACGTCCGCTTTGGTCTTCCTCCTTAGCTGCCCGTGATCGTGAGAAATACGCAAGCTAGTATGCCATTTTGATTCCTCTGTGGAAATGCTGACTCTGTCTTAGTGATTTTTAGTGGTTGCATATTAACATTCTACGTCAGAATAATACTTAATCCAGTGGGTTATACACGCGGCTCCAGTGTGTCCCCCTGCCCTCCCCTTCCCGCACTGCTGTTCTGCACCGGTGTATGTCATCACAGTGCAGCGCAATGACTGCTTCTGAAGAAGGGAAGAAATGGTGAGAAGCACTTGATGCATCAGTTACATGCATCCACGCACTTCCTGTTTCCGGCCTCGGTCCGGCTTGCTTTGGAGGCGTGGTCTTGACGGCTTTTCCTGTCAGCGCTCTGTGTCCCGCTCTGTCTTCTCCGTCGTTCCTGGCGACGTCCGCCTCCAGTGACAGCGTTGCTGCCGTGTGGGGTCAGCCATGTCATCAGCCATGTCGCCCTTGCTGCTCTGACTGTCAACAGTCTGATGGCAGCGTTGAGGTCTCTTTGTGTTCGTGGTAGTTTGGCTCACTGCACTTCCCGGATCTGGCGGGGCGTGCTCCGCCAGCAGACCTAGAAAGTTCGTGGTCATTATTTGCTCACATAATTTTTCAGTCCTCTGCTGTCACCGGCGCGTCTCCTGGGAGTCCCATTACCTGAGTTTGTACACTCTGTTGCTCCACGTTTCTCTGAAGGAGCTGCTCATTTTTTTCTCTGTTCTTCAGATTAGACGGTTTCTGCGTTGATCTGTCTTTAATCACTGATTCATTTTTCTGTCACCTCAAGTCTGCTGTTATTTTTCTCTTACCTTCTTGTTAATTGTTCGTTTCAGTTATCGTACTTTCCAAATCCAGAATTTCTATTTGCTCTTTTTTTGGGAGGTCATTCTGTTTCTCTTTATTGAAATTCTCTATTTGTTGAGTCCGCACTGTGTTAATTACTGTGGCTTTAGAATCATTGATTTTTATGTATTTATTTTGTATGTCACATCCTTAGTGAAATTTCTCATTGGTTTGTGGATTTCGGACTTCTTATTTACTATTTCTCCTTAATCTTACTGCGCAGTTTTTTATAGAGCAGAACCATTGAGGACTGGGGGGGAACAGGCACAGAATGAGTCATTGGCCACTTTTGTCCATTCCGCACTAGAGGACACTGCACATACTCGCTTCAGACACACCAGGGGACCAAGAGCCAAGCCAGCAGAGACCCGAAAAGGCAGAGAACACACTGCTTGGGTGGCAGACTTGTATCTCGATCATCCCTGCTCCTTGAGTCTTTAGTATCACTCTTCGGAAAGATTCTGCATACGCAGTTAATTTTATTCTTTTTCCATATATAATTTTTGTTTGTTTGTGTTTAAGGCTTTCTGTGAAACTTTAGAGGAGACGAACTACCGTTTGCAGAAAGAGTTGCTTGAAAAGCAGAAGGAGTTGGAATCCCTGAGGAAAGTGCTCAGTGAGAAGCAGCTTCACATAGACACGCTGGAGAGCAGGCTCAGGTGTGCTGTGATACTTGCATTCTCGTCTAATTCCGCTCTAATGCTCTGAGCTAACTGCCCTCTGTATTTTAATATGATTTAGGATATTTCTAATTCCTAAAGTCATAGACTCTTGCCGTGCTTCCTTGTAGATTGAGAAGGTTGTCTTTTGATTATTTATTTAGGAGACCATTTGAAGGGTGGAAAAGATCAGGAAAATAAGCTTCTATCTGTTCGACAAGATAAACGTTATTCATCTCAACCTATTTAAGTGGTATCTCTGTTTCTAGGCATTTATGCTAAATTTTCACAGTAAAATTCTAGCGCGCCTTCTCATCAGCCTGTGTGCAACTGATGCTAAGATCGTTGTACACTGATCATAAGTGCTAATGTCTCTGCCGACGCTCGGGGCCAGCGTCTATTAGCTGTGCGGCTGCGTGAAGGCTTAACAGCCGAGGACCGCTCACACCGCGTGTGTGCTCAGGGGTAAAGAGACACGTGTTTTATGCAAGAAGACAGTTGAAAGGAGACGTCCTGTGATTTACTTTTAGAGCATTGTGTTCAGAAGCGGAAGAGTCGCTGTGCTTGTCAGGGACAGAAGGCGAACGGTTCCGAAAGGCGAAGTCCTCTGCACTTGACCTTAGTCGAGAAGTCTTGGATGGAGAATCTAGGTGCGTGATATTTAGTTTACTGTAGCCTCATCATCTGAGTAATTGCAGGGAAATTGTTAAAATATTCTATAGAATATGTCTAATGAATTCACTTTTTATTATATCGTGGATCTGCTCAGCGATCCTAGGCCGTCCTAAAAACGAGTTTTTGGTATCCAAGCTGTAAGTTTTCTTATTACTGATTTTGAAGCTATGTCTGAATTAACTGGGCTGTGACTCAGCTAATTAATTTTGTAAATTAGGACAAATTATTTTCATCTCCCACAACGTCACTCTTTTTCCATTCAAAATGTGGGACACTCTAATAGCAACCACCCTGCCCACATAATAGGAACGATGAAAAATGGTATTTTTGAAAGCACAGAATTTTTATTGCATATAAATCCAAATTAATTACTAATACTTTAGTAATTGTTAAGCTGTAATTATGAAAACAAATTTGATGTTGGTAAAGGTAATTACAGACCAGGTTTTTATTGGTAAATGGTAGTTGCGAGAGCTGAAAGAATTAAAAATATATCTCCAAAAGTGCTATCTGGCAGCGCCACGTTAAAAGTACTAAAGTTCTGATTGAATATTTGAATATTTTCCATTAAATATTCAAATGTTCTTTACACAAAGCGAGATTTTTAAAGGCGACAGCGCACATCCAGTCTTGACACTGACGCGTTCCTCTGTTTTCGCAGCGCTCATGACAAGTCACGCCTAAGCCTTAGCGAACCCGAAACCTCCGCGTCGGAGATAGAAGTAGCAGAGGTGGCATATAACGCCGAGGAAGACAGCACCTCATAAGCCGGTCCCTCCGTCTCTACGTTTCAGCTATTTTGAGTAGAATGTCAGATCTTTAAAAAGAAAAAAAGACAAGCATTACAGAAAACAGCAAGAATGCACATGTATAGAGTTTACGTTGAAGCAGAGTTTTTTAAGTTATTGGCATAGGAAATATAGTCACTGCTGCTTTCAATTGTCTTTTATTCAACCTTCGTATTTAATACACTAGAAAAAATCCTAGCTAGTGTTCTGTTATCAGGAATCACATCCTTAAATCCTGCGCATAAATTATTTCGGTGTTTTGCCAACACATTGCTCTAGACTAATGTGCGTTTAAATTACCAGTTATGTTAGTCAAATGGAAATTCATTGCATGTTGCTGCCTGGTTGATATACACTTCTTTGTATCTCTGACATGATATATTGTCGCTAATGGTTTAAATCAGTGCTAAAGATTGGATTGAGTTTAAATATTGACGTGTTTACCATCTCTAAATAAAAATTGCTTATTTGGAATGGTACTGCTATTTAAAAGAAGACAACTTTCTAGTACCAAAGGAACACTCTTTGAAAGAGCTGTGTTAACATAGCTCAATGATAAAATAGTCTTGATTTTGAAACGTAGTTTGTTAACATTGAAATACTGTAAGTGTCCCTGTTTATTATGTTCTACTTGTTTATTTTCCACATTATCTTAAATCTCTACCTATAGAATCAGTGAGTTTGCCTCTCTCAGAACACTACCTCTTTTCGCTAATCAAGGCATACTCTTGAAAATATATTATAGATTCTAAGCAAATAGAGAGTTATACAAAAAATAAAAATAAAAAGCCATATAAACTACAGAGTTTCTAACTATGTTGACTCCTGGCATTGCATTTTTATTTCTGTATGTGTAAATATGTTACTATAATATATTCTGGATGATTTTCTTTTTAATATATTTAGCCAAGTGATGCACTTTATGGTAATTAAAATTTTGCGTGCCAACTCTAATTGGTGAATTTCTTGAGTAACTGGAGTTAGGAAAAATAATTATGTAGTGCCTTGACTGTGTCACTTTTTACAGAAGTCTTCCAGGGTCTGTGAGTCCACTTTATGAAAAAGTGTTTATTTCAGCTTTGTATATAGTTGTCAAAAGCGCCTCATTTCATCTTTATGTTATGAAGCTCCTCGTTTATTTTCTGTTTCTACTGTTTCGCATCTCGTTGTTGACAAGCACTGTAATCATACTAGCATTCTGAAATGCCAGCTGGTGTGTTGTACTCCATATACTTTCTAAAAAACTGGCTGCGGAAATGGAGTAACAAGCTCCATTTTTTTTTTCTTCGCTGTCTAAAAGTTTGCCAGGATCTTGATGTACAAATTACAATGCGGTTATTTAAGATTCTGCTGACATAGAGTAACAGACCTTTGTTGTAAAAAGGAGGCTGCTTTTCACCAAAGTACCAGAAATGTTAAAAGTCTTCATCAAAATGCACAGGTATGCTCAGTCTTGGACCATTTCCACAAAGTGTATTGGAAATATAGTATCCTGGGAGATGGAAAGACTATAACAAACTTGTGTACTTGTTTATTTCAAAAGATTATTCTAGACTTAAAAAAGGTTTTAAAAGAACAATCGATTAATGTTAATAATATTTTAATTTTAATAATGAAATATTAATGTTAAAATTAATGTAGTGTAATAAAACAAGATTATGCTAAATTCTAGATGTTACAGTGCTTTTAAAGTGAGCCCTACACTTGGAAAATCTGGCCTTTCACAAGATTGTACGTAACCTTTTGGACGGTTGAAGAAAAACTTGTAAATTAGGTAAACCACTATTATTTATATTAGAATTTACTTTGTTACTTTTATAATGCATTTATTCCCAGTATTATATTCATTTAATAAATTATTTTTTCAGTACAACAGTAGCTGTGTTGTTCAAATGTCGGATACCAGTTTCTACATTCTCCCTATCCCTTACGATTATTATGTTTTAGTGATAGTTAGAGCTTCATTTCACAGATGTGGAATGAGGTTTTAAGTTTATATTACGGATCGCTTTAAGTGTTTGTAAATAAGAGCAATGCACTTTAAATGTAACCAATATTAATTAAAAAACAACTGAAACAAAATCTTTTGGGGTAATCTTTTAAAAATTATGTATAGGTAGCACAGCCATAAAACTTAGCTTTTTGAAATGTGTTTTGTCTGTCTGCTATCCTGACACTAGCCATTTAAAGCACACTTATTTGGAAAACCACATCCGTCACGTAAATCACCTGTGTGTCCTACTTCAGCTGTCTGTGACATCACAAGGCAACGGTGGCCTTAAATCTGAGAATAATTTGTCTGGTTTTGAAATGGATTTTGTAATTTATAGGAATAAGGGAGTTTAGGGTATGCTAAAAATAAGTGTATACTCCCAATTAGGAAGTAGAAGAATCTAAATTTTACACTCCAGATTTTCAAAGAGCTATGTATTTGGTCCAGATTTGGGCTGTTCATACACTTACCTTTCCTGCACGTTCTTTCTATGCTGTTGGCTTCTATTAGCAAAAACAAGCAACAAATCTTGTATTTTCAACACATGCTGTTAAGGCCGATGTCCGTTTAATCGCACAGTGTACGCTTTATGAAGACTCATAGGAGAAAATTCTCTTAGGTCTTAGTACTTCTGAAGTACTGAGAAGCACTTGTCCACCTAAACAATTGGTTTTTTTTTTTTCTATCAAAGACTATGTCATTCCTTTCTTTGTATTATTTTGGGGCAGTTCTAAGCCAAAGGGTAAGTTCGCCTGGACCCTGCCGAAGGAACTTTATGGAACCTTATGAGTTACAGTGCCACGTAGGAAACTTGAGTTTTTCTCATTTTCCCTTAATTCCAATTTTCTTCCCTATTTAAGCTCCTCTATTAGAACATGCATTTTTCGGATGAAGCCTCAGATTCGAATGCTCTTTCAAACTGCATGAGGCAGGAGGTCGCCGTGGCCTGCCCTCAGCGCTGCGCCGTGAGGGGCGCGGGTGCGTACACAGGGCCAAGTCGTTCTTTGAAACGCCTTCAGGTAGGACGCGGACGCCCGGCGCACATGTGGCGCCACCGGCTGGCCAGCTGTGGGCGCTTCTGCAGCACTGCGACCTCGGATTAGGACAGACTCCGCGTGCCACTTCCTTGGACTCAGCGCCAGGAACGCGCAGGGCGTCACGTGCACGGGGACCGATCGCGCAGCCACGGCGACCTCGGGACGCGGGCGTCCCGCCGGGACAGGCGCATGCGCCTGGACTCGACGTGCCTCGTGCGACGTTGAGCTGGCTGCACTCAGAGCGGGGTTAGTGTCACATGGTGGCTCACGGCGGCCTTTGCTCAAGCAGTGGACTCGGGGGACGAAGCCCGAACCGGGGGACCCTCTCGAGTGAGCTCGCGCGCGCGTCCAGCCTTCCGGTCCTGCCTGCAAACAACGGGAGCTGGCGGTCCCCTCGGACGCCAGACCACGACCCGGCCGCGCGGGG